AAAAAAAAAAAAAAAAAAAAAAAAAAAAAAAGCCTGGGCTCTTACCCCCATCAGCGATTGGGGCCCAAGCATGTTTTCCTTTAAGCTTTTCCAGGAGGTTGAAATGTGTAGCAGGTCTAAGGACCACAGCTGTAACCTCTTGCTGAGTATGTGTGTCAGATAAAGTGGGCAGTGGGATATGATGAGGCTAGCGGAGGCAGCTCTTTGGAAGGAGCTAGGCAGATTAGTGTTAGGCAGGAGCCACCTGGCTAGGAGACTGCCTTTGATATGTAGCCAGAATGAATTAATGAGATCTGGAGACCTGGAGGAGCAGGCTGGAATTCAGTAAGAAGTCTAGGTAAAGGGAAAGAGGCTCTCCAGGCCTCTTCGGGCAAGTGAGACCTAGTCAGCCAGAAGGAGGAGCTGGTTAGTAGGTCACATCCTTTACCATGTCTTGTCTTGTCTTTGCTCTGGTGTAAGAAGTTTTCTAACTGGTCTTCACGTCCAAGGTTTTGTTTCTAGACCTTAGAGCATGGTTGAGGTAACCAGTGGCACTCTCAAGGTCTCTCCCATCATCATCCTCTTAGAAATAAAATATGTGCTGGGAAATACTCACAGTCCAGCAGAGAATGGCAAATCCAAACCAGGCAACCCCCCAGGCATGTCGGTTCATGGGTCCAGAGATCAGTTCATAGCAGCCCTGGAGGGGTGGGCGATTCCACATTGGTGTGAGAGGAACCAGAGAAAAAGATGTGAGAGATGGATAGGAAAGCAGATTCCTGGTTGAATCAGTCCCACTCCAAGTCCAGTTTCCCATGACCAGGCTATCTCTGCCTCCCTGTAGACAGCCTGCTACTAACAGTGCTTTGCTCAGGAAACATAAGTAATACTGCTGAACAGCTATTCTATATTACATTTATTTGTATCTTTATCACTTAATCTCACTAAGTGCTATTTTATTTTATTTTAATTTAATTTAATTTATTTTATTTGGCAGCTGGCCAGTGCAGGGATTCAAACTGTTGACCTCAGTGTTACAAGATGGTGCTCTAATCTACTGAACATGCTATTTTAGCATAACATTTTTTTCATATTGAATATGTGGACAATATTTTCTTCAGACAATTTGATTTTTTTCCTTTTGAAAAGGTTTATATTGGTGATCTGTTTGAGGGCAGAGTTACTTTTTGATTTGTTTGTTTTTAAATAAAAATGCTTCTGGTCCATGAAAACTAGAGATCCTCTGTTGCCATTTTTTTATAACCATAAAAGGAATTCCTACATCATGCCCCTAAATTCTCATTTGACCTTTTATTTCAATGTATATTTTTGGGATTCTAGTATGACCTTAAAGGGCCATGGTGTGCACGTGAGTGATTCATTGTTTATTCAGTGATTCTTTCATTCATGCGTGCCGTGATCCAGTAAGTATTTATACATGGCACATGCTGCCCTAGTCACTATACAAAGTTCTGGAGCGAAATACATGTGTAAGGTTAGAATTGCCATCTGAGCGACCTCTACTAATGCCCTGGGAATCACAGCAATGACTAGGAAATGCCATAACCAGTGCTGGTTCCATGGACCACGAGGTCTAGAGGGTAACCTCCTAGAAAGGTTGTCCTTAAAGTTTATGCTCCATTCAGTGGCTAGAAGTGGCCACTTGAGGTTCTGTCCTTTATGACTTTGCCCCAGTCCCTTGCTAATCCACTTATATTCCCTGCCTTTGCTATACCTTTCTCCCCCATATACCCTTCTCCATTTATATTAGAGGCACCTCTATTCACCTAGATGCTCAAATGAGAAATCTTGGAATTATCTTTAACTCACCTGTTTTTCTTTTATCCAACAGTCCAACACAGAAACAAATCCTTTTGGGTGTACTTTAAAAATGTATCTCAAATCCAAACATTTCTCATCACTTCCTGGTACTGCCTTGGTCCACCAGGGCCTCATTCCAAGATTACTACAATAGCCTCTAGCTGGTCTCTCTGAGGCCACACTTGGCACCCCACTGGTCTTCACAGAGTGCCGGAGCCATCCTCGTAAAACATAAATCAGGTACATCACGTGGCTGCTCAAAACCCTCCAGTGGCTTCCTACTGCCCTTAAGATGAAATTCTAAGTACTAACCATGGCCTAGGAGGTGCTGTATGACATGGCCCTCTCTCTCTCTCTCTCTAACCCCATCTTCCACTGCTAGAGGCGTTTCACCGTAAAGCTGATGAGCTTAAGCTTTGGGCCGTACCTAATTTTACAAACATATTGTTTTTATTGTTCTTCCTAAGAAGAACCCCGCCCTACAAATTTTACAATATTAAGGCCCCACAAAATCTAGATCCATCCTTGCCTTCTACTCATCCTTCCCTCACTCTGGCCTTTGTAGTGACTGCCTTGTTGTCTTCCTCCGGAGAGCTGACTGCTCCCCCTTCAGGGCCTTTGCACCCACTACTTCCTTTCTTTGGATTCTCTTCTCCAATCTTCCAGTGTCTCATTTCCACTCGTAATTCACACCTCTGCAAATATGATCTCCGCAAAGCCCTTCCTGAGAAAATACCCTTTCCCCCACCGTACTCTGTTTACCTACCGTGCTTTATCTCCGCTCATGGCATTTATCACTATCTGGATTTTACCATGTATTCGTTTGGTAACATGTTTATTGTCTGTCTCCCATACTAGAATGCAAGCTCCATGAATGCAGGGATTTTATCTTGTTCACTGTTGAACCTTTAAAACCTAGAGCAAGTGTCTGGCACACAGTAGACACCTAATAAACATTTACAGAATGAATGGAATGTGATATTAAGTAATGATTCCAACAGTATCATTTGCAACCCACTCGATCCTCCTGACAATCCTGGAAGGCAGTCATTCATCTGGTAACATATGTGAGCACGCTTATGCCAGGTGCCAGGTCCTGGGCTAGACACTTTAGCACATTTAACACAGAAATGGGTCTTGCCTTCATGGAGCTCACAGACAAAAGCCCCAGTTTTCTGCCCTCTTCTCATTTAGTGACTTTTCATGCTGATAATCATTTTAGTGGTGCTTTACTTGATCTTCCTTAGTTCCATTATAATATTCGTGAGGTGTAGTGATCAGAATTTGCACATAGCATTTCTGAAGCAGATAGACCATGATGTAGGGTATATATATATATATATATATATATATATATACTCGTATTTACATCTGACATGCTATGTGAAATTCTGGTTGATTTCTATTACCACACTTACGACGACTTCCTAAATTTTGTCAGTCTTCATGGCTGTAGCAGCACATTTGTGTACTATAGATCTCGAAAAGCTACAATATGGCTGTGAAAAAGAGCCATTCACATCTCCATTCACTAAGCCACCAAACATTTATTGAGTGCCTGCCTTGTGCCAGGCATTATGCTAAGTACTAAAGATACAGAGTTGAATAAAGCATAGTCCTCAAGAAGACTCATACCAAAATAGACTTGTGAACAAATATAAGACAGTTCAACATGGTGAATACAATAATAGAAGTAAAGTATACCAGGTATGGGGGTGGCACATTTTGCTTTGTGGAAAACGATTGCTACAGCGGAGCCAGCAGGAGCTGTACACAGGTCAGAGACAATGGTGGTGGTCAGAAATAATGGGAGCCGGGACAGGGAGAATCAGAAAGGATTAATAGCTAAGAGATGATGTTGAGGGGAAGAATGAGTGAGACTGAGAAAGCAGGAGGAGTACAGGGAGTTGGGGACAGAGAGAGGAACTTCAGAAGTCAGGATTTTGTGGAGGAGTAGGGCTGAGTGATGATGTGTAGCTGTAGCGTAGCTAGTACACAGTGGGGGTGGTGACGTTAAGGACAGAGGAGGCCGAGGAACCAAAGGGAATTGTACACAATTACAACCCAGTCAAGATTTATTTGCATGAGCCAGTTGCAGTGTTGAAACATTGAAAGTGTTTTACTAATTCTGAGAATGATAATTATATTGCGTACAGTGATTATAAGCAACAAATTTAATTTTTATAGCAGTCTGAATATAACTGATTAACATAAGGCCAGAACAATGTGGCTCAAAGCTAAATGAGGATTGCTAAATGAACACTGCTGCAAAATATCTATATCATTCCCGTGTCCTTTTCTGGATGAATGCATCCGATCCTAGTCTGGGCACTCTGCCTAGTGTGGTATGAGGGTCAGCAGAGCCGCGTCGTTCATTCTGAACGTGCAGTTTGTATTATTTACTCCCAAACTAAAGAGGCCGACAGTCCTCAATTATTTAATGAACTGGCACACAACCAGCTTTCTTTAAAAGGGTAATTCCCAAAGCAGTGTACAGCATTTCAGCGCACAGTGTCGGCAGATGCTGACTACAGATATGTGGGCGTTCTCAGTAGGGCTTTTGGGGAACATTGCCAAGTGTTTGATGGCTTAGAGTCTGTGCTCTGGAGCCAAGTGGCTCTGGGTTTACATCCCAACGACCATTTACTGGTTGTGTGGCCTTGGGCAAGGTTCTTATTAGCATATCTATATCTCAGTTCCTTATCTGTAAAATAGGGATCATATTGGCATCCACTTTTGAGCATTAAATGAGTTAGCATATGTATGGCATTTGGAACTGTGCCTAGCTTTGAGTAAGTACTCAACAAATGTTAGTTTTCATGATCATTATCACATTATCCTCATCAGCTCAGAAACAGTTTTTCAAAACCCAGCTGTATGTAAACTACCTTCTACCCAAATCAACAGCTTAATATTTTACTAAGGCCGTCCTGCATTACCACTAAATGAGGAATGTGGGTACATAAATACTGCATTTACCCTCAGCAATTGCCATTGCTTTGGAATTGGCAAAACATTCATTTTCATTTTATCCCTTCCAATTTAAATTTTTCAGAAATAGAGCAAATCTTTTTTTAATGTAAATATTTCTTGAAATACCAATTGTGTACATGGTACAAATTGTTTTCATTTAAACAAAGTTATATTTTGCTTTTGCAATTCTCAGATTCTGTTAGTTTTATTAAAATGTAAATTTGCCATATCAGTTCTAATTTAGCATTCAGGGTTTACTAACAAATAGAGAAGGAAATAGTTAACATGAGGTTTGGGAAAAGGATGTAGAATTCCTTACTGAGAGACTGTCACCTACAGTGGATCATTATTTTTCCCAAAGAGAGCAGAAGAACCTCCTGGAAGGTCTTGGGAGGAGTGAGTACTCACCTGATTGTGGTAATAACCAGACACTCCTAGTTTGCAAGCCTCCAGGTTGAGAGGTTCTTTAAGGTTGTTCATTACACAGCACTGACGAGGCCAGGGATAGTCGGCATCATTATTGTCAGCCCGGAAGGCAGATGTGTATTTCTGCCAGTCTGATGGACCATTTACACCACAGCAATTGTCCTATCAGTGGGTGAGAGATACAAAATTCTCTTTCATGTTCCTTCCTAGATCCATCAATGTAGAAACTGAGATTTTATAGAGAAAGAAGATATGGATATTGTATTATAGCTTGTGTTTACCAAAAAATCCCCAAAGAAGAGCTGAAGGTATTAGTAACTTACATTTTAGGGTTTGCAAAATATATTTAATATTTACGACTTTACTATTCATTAGTGAGCTCTATAGACTTTGACATGTTACTTAAACTCTCTAAGCCTCGTTTTCCTTAATTGTAAAATTGGTATAAATATAGTACCTATCTCATAAGTTTTTTGTGAGGATTAAATGAGTTAATACACTTAACGTGTTTAGTAAAGTGCCTGACTCATAGTAAACTCTTAATATATGTTAAATATTATTAATACTATAATCTTGATAATGTGAGAGGTATAATTATTCTAATATTACATATGAGCAAATTGACGATCAGAAAATAAAAAATTTTAGTGATGAAAAAATTAGAAGTATTCTTCTTATTTTACTTTTCTGTATTTTTAACATTTTTCCAGATTAATTATGTATTACTTTTATAATGGGAGAAAATAAACTAGAAAAAAATAGCAAAACCTGGTGGCACACAGCTATGCCTCTACATAATAATTGATATCCTTAAACTCTAAATAGAATTGAGAATAAAGACATAACTCATAGCACTTTCCTTCCTATAAATGCTGAGAAAATGTTTCAATGGAGGAGGTTAAAAACTGCAGGTATTTCTCAACTTTTACAATAAATGTATTCATGCAAACTTTATGATATATCAACCATCTTTAAAGGATGTCCAATTTTGACACTGGGTTATGGGAAAGATAACCAGTAAAAATAATCATTCTGTACTGTGATCTGAGCATTCTGGGGAAAAAGGATTAAGTTGGAGGCAGGCTTATCTCAGACTAGGATGTAAGTGGAGACAGAGAAGAGTTAAAGGTCCCAAATTGAGCTTTGTAACACTCCAACATTCAGAGGTGGGGAAAGGCTGAAACCCAGCAAAGAAGACAAGGGAGTAGCCAGTGTGACAAATGCTGATGACAAATGTCATCAGTCTGACAAATGTCAAGTAAGATGAGAACAGCGACTTGACCACTGGATTCAGCAGGATGGAGGTAATTGTTAACTGTGACAAGGGTCTTTTGAGTGGAGTGGTGGGGTCAGAAGCCAACTGTAGTTGAAAGAAGATAAGAGTTGTGGAAATGAAGACAGCAAGTATAGGTGTCTCTTTTGAGACTTGTGAAATAAAACAGAGCAGTAGTGGAACAGAATGGGGGCAAATGTTGGGTGAGAGAGAGGTTTTTCTTTTTTAAAGTTGGACAATTTAGGGCCGGCCTGGTGGCGCACTGCTACAGTGAGGTGTCCTTGTCGGCTGACATGAGGGAGAAACTGATGCGGCAGACTGGAGCAGGGAAGACGGTTGGAGTGAAGTGGACAATGTAAAGCAGAAGCAAAGGAGTTGGACAGAGGACAGTCCAATTATCAAAGCAAGAGAGAAGGCAAAGTACACGGGTGCAGGTTAGTGCAGATGGGTAGATTTGGTGGTAGAAAGATGAGATGGTTCTTGTCTAGTTGCTTCTATATTCTTAATAAAATATGAGGTCAAGCCATCAGCTGAGAGTGAGGGTGAGGAGGGATGTTGCAGGTATGAAGAGAGACGAGAACATGTGAAATAGTGGCAAGTGAATATTCTAGAAAAATATACTACGATATATTAAGTGCCCTGATGGAGTCTGGATGTGTTGTTCCCTCCAAAACTCATGTGGAAATTTGATCTCCAATGTGGCAATGTTGGAAACTGATTGAGTTCTGGGGGCAGATGCCTCATGAATGGATTAATGCTCTCC